GAAGAACACGAGGACCGCCCGGGCAGAGAGGGGTGGGGAGGGAGGCGGGTTGTGTGTGGGAGCGGCGGGGGTGAAAAGGGGGCCAAGGCTGAGAATCACTGCTGTAGAGAATAAGGAAGATGACCTTGTCAGAGATGACCAAAGCAGCAAGGGGAAAAGCAGGGCTTAAGTCCCAAACCAGAAGCTATGTGCAAGTGACTCAGGGAGACACCTCCTTCATTCACAGGAGTATGGGGGGGGGAGATAAATCACAGCCAGAGTTGCAGGATTCTGCTACTATAGCCGATATTAATACAAGACGTTTTAGCCTTCTTGTGAAATTGGTTTCTTGGTTTGGTCTACGTTGTGAGGCTGACGGTTGCCCGGAGCAACATCGACTCCGGAACCGGCACTAGCTGATGGAGCCCTCTCACCAGAATTAGATTTTCTTTCACACCCTGGAACTTTTATGGCTCTTCACCACCCCCAGGTGATCACCCCACAGAGAAAAATGCATGTGTATTTTGTGGTAGCCACAAATTATTCATTTATATTCCAAATGTAGGCACCGCCCATCTCAGAGAGCGACTCTGGGCAGTTTACAACAAGAAGAAGAATAAAAAACCCTTTAAAATACAATCAAAACAGCGTTTGTAAATAAATAATAGAATCCGAGAAATTGGTGGTATGTAATAAGTTATCGATTGTGATTGATTTCTGCCTTCCCAGTTTTACTTTTTCATGCTTTGCTTTCTTTTTCGTGCTTCTCTTTTCCAGAAACTTCATGACGAAGAGTGAGGAAGTCTGGAAAACCTCAGTTTAGCCAAACCAGCAATTTAACAATCTTTGCCTTGAGACGCCATAGCATGAATATAGTGCAGTGAATAAATCTGAATAGCAACTCGAATCCCATTTGCTCTCTTTGCCAAACATTTCTATTGTTCAAACCTGAAATGCATTTTTAAGAGCCAACAACAAGCAGGCATCAAACAGGCAGAGGTTTTCCCCACCACTGTTAAAATCAAAACACAACAGAATCATGTCGGTCCATGGGGAAAAGTTTCCAAAATTCATATTTAGGCAATGCATGTATTGGGACTTTTCTAAATAAGGGTACTTCTGAGCTACATTTCCAACTACCTCATTTGTTTCTTAAAAATTAAGAATCTGGTTCATCTCTCTTAATCCAGAGTTGCAGAATCATGGAGTTGCCTTTAGCAAACCACAATGGTGCCCCCTGGTGTTCAGAGTTGGCATCAGCGGGTGAAATTAGAGTCCACCAGGAGTTATTCCCTATAGGATGGTGCCCTCTGGTGGGGATGGTAAGCATTACCGCCAGTTCTCTGTACTTCCAGGTGAGGAGGAATGTTGGGGGGGGACAGGAATACATTTAGCATCAAAAGTGGGGTTACTCCCTTCCAATCAGGCAGAAGGGGACATGCATAATTTAACAGTGAAATTTCCTGCTCTCTAATTTGGGAGAGAGAGCCATTTAGATGAGAAGTTCACCGTGGATCTGGTTATCCAAGGGAACATTTTCAGATCGAGCTGGTGGGGAGTAGCAAGGGAAGAGGGACCTAACTGTCCTGTCCATGTTTTCTGAAAGCATCTGTTTGGGCCCTGTTTGGGCCCTTGGCTGGGGAATTCTGGGAGTTGAAGTCCACCCATCTTAAAGTGGCCAAGGTTGAGAAACACTGCTTTATAACTTCAGATCTCCTCTGCTCTCCCACTCCCTACGGCTCTACTTCCATGCAGAGGTCAAATTCTCTTGCACCCTACTATCCCTGATCAGTCCCCAGTCTGAGACAGAAGCTTTGGCCAAGTCCAGAGAGGCCTCTGGTAAGGCTTTGACATGTTGAGAGAGGAGGAAAGAACACGTGAAGGTCTGGGATTTTCTTATTGGTGTGTGCAGACTGGTGTTCAGGGAACTGAGAAGTGGACTTGCTATGAGGACACACATAGGCTTGGCCAGCCCACAGGAGGGTGAGACTATCTTGTTTGCCTTGCACCCGGAAGGCAGATCCAGAGGGAATGGGGAAAGCTTATCCTGCAGGCTTTGCCGCCGAAGCGACGCTCGCGCTGGTTCTGCGCCACATCCTGGTGGCAGAAGGTCTCTCCATGCAGCTCAAACGTGACGTGTGGCCAAGGAGTGTGGAGTGTGGAGGGGTTGAAAAGCTTCTCTCCCCACTGATTTCATGGGGTAGCAGAACAGCGGTCTGGGAGAAGCCCGTGATAGGCAGCCAAACGAGGATCTTGCTTATACACACACACACACACACGCACGCACACACACACCCTCTAAAGAGAGCGAAAGAAAAACAGTATTGCACCTTCTCCACCTGACATCTATAGTAGGTGGGTGGGTGGGAAGGAAACATTCAGTGGGGTGAATCATGTAAATCATTAGCCTTTTTTTAAAAAAGTCAAGATGGCAGCTTACGTCATGCAAGCATGGCCCCATTTTAGCTTTTTTGACCCCCCCCCCGCAGACACCCCATTTCCCCTCTCTGCTCCCCATTTGCCTGGCCCCTCTACAGCCCCACCCTGGACAATTCATCATCTCTGCTCTTCGATCTTTAGACCAG